CTTACATGTAGATTTTTTTTTTGTTTCCTTGCTATGATCTTTGTGAATTCAAGTGTTGTGTGTGTGAATACTTTCAGATTTTTGATGGAGGTATCAGGTGATGCCCCCAAACCTGGAGTTTTTCAAGTGTCAACTGTGTATGCGTGTGTGTTGTTTACTTGCTTCTTTGTTATTATCAAGGGATCAGACCTAGTACTTTGTAGGAGAGTCATGTGAACACACTGGGAATATCATGTATGAATACAAATGAAGTCAATCTGGGCACCTGATACTCCAGAGGTCAGCCATTGCTCATCAATCATCAGTCTTTTGTTGGCCTAGCATATGCCAGGGGAAAAAGGTGGAGGAATAATGGGCTCTCCCTGATCTGGTATGTCATCCAGACAGACTCTCCCCAGCGATCTAGCCTTCAGTGAGGCAGCCCAGCATGGGAACAGGAGATGGTGACAGCCATGACTCTGACTTGGTTTGGAATTGCCCAGAGTGCTCTTATTAACTCAGGGGCATCTACGAGAGCAGAAGAACCTTAGTATCTTCCAAAATATGAAGAAACAGTGGAGGGAGAGAGCCCTGATTTAATTGTAGCCTTCAAAGGAAATTGCAGTTAAATCTCAATCTTTTAGAAAGTTTTAATTGAGTTTGCGTATTTGAAAAAAAAATACTATGACTTATTTTGCTTTAGCCATTGCTTTTCCTGTACCCTACATAAGGACATCATCTTAAATGTAGACAAATTCTATGTGTTCTTAGTTGATTTCAAACTAATACTATTTTGTATAGAATAAAAGAATTCTATTTCTACCCCTACACCTTAAAGGACATACCATCAAGTCAGAACTGACTCATAGCTGACTCATTAGTGGATTTTCAGAGGCAGTAAACCACACAAGAGATTTTCTATCTTTCTCCCCTGGAGCACATGGTGAATTTGAACTGTGTGCCTTTGGGTTGACAGCACACCTCCTTACCACTGAACCATGATTATGATTAATTCACCAAATTTCAGACTATAGCTTAATCTTGGAATTCTTCAGCAAAGTTCATATGAAAACAAGTTCTGTAAATATAAATGGAAAACTTGCTTTCAGTTGTGGATTTTTCTAATTAGTTCCTGAACAGAGTTATCTAGAAAAAAATGTTGCATCGCACACACACACACACACACACACACACACACACACACAGATTGTGAAGCTATAAAATGCCCACTATTTACATAAAAAAATACAAAATTAAGTTTCCCAATTCATTTTAACGTAAAGAGAATATGTTAAATGGGTGAAGTAGTATCCACAGAAGCTGTGGTTTGGAATGGAGATGTAAGTTGGAATGCACATTTCTCCTGGAAAAATAATAACTGAGTTCTTGCTAAGGAGGGAGATAAAGGGAACTTGGACTTCTTCAACTTGCATTTTTGTTGTTGTCAATTGTACCTGGGTCATATCTAACACCTGACAACTCTGTATATACCAAAACAAAATATTACCCAATGACCCCTAATTTGAACTGAGTTTGTTTCAAATATGTAGAGTTTGGCACATGACATGTGTTTACTGCTCCCTAATTCTTACAGCATTACATTAAAAGACATGGCAGAGTCTAATATATCCAACAATGAAATAATCCAAGCAATCATCATCATTTTGAACAGTAGGAAAAAAAAACATATTAAATTGATTTGAGTATATGTTTAAGTTACAAATGTTTGCCATTTGTTATTTCCTGAGTAAAGATTTGAAGATTGCTGACTTCTCAGCAAGAATCAACTGTTCAGAAGGCAAAATCTTTGAAGCTTTCAATACAGTCTTTAAACCAGGAAATGACTTTGTCTTACAAAAATAACAGTTTTCTTTACATATTAAACATGTTGTGTATATTATGTATTTGTTATTGTTACATCCCATAGAGCTGGAACTGACCCATAACTGAAACCTCCAGCAAATGTTTTCAGAGGCAGTAAATTGTATGAGAGGAGACAGTCCTTTTTTTCTCCTGTGAAACTGCTGCTGTATTCAAATCACATGCCTTCGAGTTGACAGTGCAAATTTTTACCACTAAACCACGTGCTTCCTATATAATATTAGCAAATAGTCTATAAAAATAAAAAATATTTCCAAATACATTACAAATAAACTATTGTTGACCTGACAGATGATGTGATATAAATATAACTAACACAATTAAAATACTAACAGTAGCCAGGCATGCTGTACATCCCTGTCCGTAAGCTTCAAAGCACCAATCAGACTTGCTGCGATGTTGGATCCCCCGAGGTTACTCTTTCATATTCTTTTTTTGATTCTTTACTTTTATGGTTTCTGTACCTGGAAACATGTAGAAATAAAACTATTAGTACTATAGCAAATAAGAACTAAATCTTTTCGTTAAAGGAACAAATACATAAACCCAAAAAAGTACATTAGCATAACTCATGTCCTTCAAACTGAGAATCAATTTAGACTCATAATAATCATCTCTTGAATTTCTGAAGCAGTAAATCTTAATAGGAGGAGACTATTTCATTTTTCTCCTGCAAACGCTGATGGGATAAACCATCATTGCCAGCCCAACAAAGTCAACTTAGGTATAGATTGGGCAAGCAATAAAAAAGAAGAAGTAAAGATTTAGAAGTAAGTTGAGGAGAGATGGTAGTACAGAGGTAACACCTTTGGCTGATAAGCAAAGGTCAGTGGTTCAAACCCAGAAATTGCTCTGTAGGAAAAAGATGTGGAAGTCTGCTTCCATAGAACCCTGGAAGTTCTATGGTGAAGTGACCAATAAAGATTAACTATTTTAATTTTGATTGCTGATAACATTATATAAATATGATGGACAAGAACTAGGAATGGAACTAATCTAGTGTAATATTCAAGGTATTAGTTTTTTTGGATTGTATTAACATGGGGGGAAGTAAAAGGAAAAAAAAGGAGAAACAAGAGAAAGGGGAGAGAAAAGAAAAAGGAAAAAAGACCTCAAATTTAAATATAGTTGCATGCTGTCCTTGTAAAACTCCCAGGCTTCATTTTTATATTAAGGCCTCTGAGATGCTCTGCAGTAGAGGAGTTCCTTTAACTCTATTTTACCATGCCCTTCGATGATGAGATATATTCCTTCAAAACCCCAAAACTTGCCTTAAGTCAACTCGATTTGTTGTTGTGTACCATCAAGTTGTAACCGACCCATAGCTGACCCTCCAGTGGATTTTCCGAGGCAATTTAATTTCATGAGGAGATTGCCCATCTTTCTACCATGGAACAGCTGGTGAATTTGAACCATGTGTTGCAATGCAGCTCCTCACCACTAGGCCAGAACTTGCCCATAGAATTTCCGAGGCTGTAGTCTTTGTGGAAGCAGACTGCCTCACATTGCTAACACAGAGTGGAAGACAGATCCAGTCTTTCATTTAGCATCCTACCAGTCAACCACTGTACCACCAGTATTCTCTGGCTTAAATACTAAGTTTTTGAGGCCCTGGGGTTATTATTTAGAAGAGATATGTTTTGTATAATATCAAATTTGTTGTTGGTTGCCCTGGTATGAACTACAGCTCACAAGCACTTTTCATAACAAAATGAAATATTGCCCAGTCCTATACTTCATGATCTTTGATACCTTGGGCCCTTTTCTACTGCTGTTATGTCAGTTCATTTCACGGAGAGCTTTCAACATTCATGATTATCTTTTCTTTTTGTTAAAAAATGATGTCTCCCCCCCCCCCCCGGGGGTTGGTCTTTCCTACATAGAAGATAACATTCCATTTTTACATTTCATTGACTGATTTTTGGACGTAGATCTATAGGACTTTCTTCCTGATATGTATTGATCTGGAAGTCTACTATGAGTGACCCTGCTGGTATTTGAAATACAGTTGGCACAGCTTCCAGTACCCCAGCACCATGTACCTAACTCACCACAGGATTACAAAAGTGACAGCCAGGAGGTCAGATATGAAATTGGGTGTTAATGAATTAAACATAGGCAGCTAAGTGTTATTACTTCATTGTCATGATTATCATTGGCTATAATAAAAATGGGGATCTCCAGTGATGCATTCAATGGCTATGCACTCAGCGTTTAATTAAAAGGTTGATGGTTTTACTCTCACCAGACTCTCCCAGGGAGAACGATTTGGCAGTCTGCTTTTGTAAAGATCACAGTCTTGGAAACTCTATGGGACAATTGTTACTCTGTCCTATAGGGTCAATTGAGTTGGAATTGGCTCATAAGCTGCAAGTTTATTCTACAATTAGTATTAGGAGAAATTTTTAGATCCAAGATCCCATTTACCTTGCATAACTCCCACATTGCAATCAGGTTGGAACCCAGTCGTGGTTAAACCCCCATTGGGTTTCTAAGGCTGTAAATCATATGGGAGGAGAGTCCCCATCTCTTCACTGAGGACCCATTGGTGGATTCAAGGCCTTTGAATTAATAGTACAACTCCCTATAGACTAGGCCACTAGAGCTTCCCATCTTCCTAGAAATTCAGTGAAAAGTAGTCATAGTATCGCATGCTGACTCTGACCCTAAAACTTCTTTGTAAATATTGTCAACATATATCCTATTTTTGCCCTAAGTGAAATTTTGCTCTTATTTGTACAAAATTTATAGGTCTTCTTGTGTAGAGGGATATTTGTATATGCATGAAAAGAGCATTATAGGAAATAATTTACAGGTAGAATATTAAAAAACAAACAAAACCCCCAGACTTACCATCTGCAGAAGTAGTACATGGAGCCAGTGAATATGATGAGAAAAAAGAGAGTAAGAATCACGGTCAAAGCCACATATTCTGTGCTTAATGGTTGGTGGACAGTTAAAAAGAAATGTTCACATCGGACACCAGTGTATCCCACATCACATCTGAAAGAAAATGTGAGACAAAAGATCAATTATTTAGGGGTAAATATAAAAATCAAATAATTAATTAATTATGTGAGAACAAATTTTAACTTCATAATATAATACAAGAAATAGAGTATTACCAAAAGTTATAAAGATTAATTAAAAGAGTGACCTGAACACCAAGTAGAGCTCTTTTTATTAGTATTAACCTGGCAGGAAGTTTACATATATGGTGAATTTTAAAGATTTGGTTTAGCAATAGCATTACTGGCAATTTGGCATCACGTTTTATAAGTTTTTCAGGTTTAAGTGGGAGTTTTGCCTGAATCAGTGGCGTCTCATAACAGCTTGGATAGACATTCAATGAAAAAAGTTATCTGCATGGGAGGGAAGTATTGAAATCCTCCGTTCTCTGCACCCCTGCAGTATGTCTATCATTGGAAACTATTTGTTTCCTCTTTTAAAGAATTTGGTTAATAAAGATTCTTACAGTACATAGAAACACAGGGATTTATGGGATGATTTTAATAAATTAAGAAAAGGAGAGAGAATATAAATTTCTTCAAAGTCTTTTTTTGAAGAGATACTATTTACCTGCAGTAATGTTCACTCATGTCCACCAAGTAAATGCATTGTCCATGCAAACAGTAGCCATACATGTCAGGACTACACTTTGTTATTGACACTTGAGCGACCCGTGGATTGTCTTCTGTCTGAACTGTGAAGGAAATGGTAAATTGAATACATTCTCTTTCTTTCTTTGAAACATTAACCACCCTTTCATAACAGTAACCACTAAACTACTTCAAGAAAGCATGCCATGTCCATCAACTCAGAAGTGGGATGTCTCTTGAGTTATCACACACTCTGGGCCAACAAGGAGTCACTGGATGGTGAAGATGGCTACTGAGCTCAGCTACTAACTGAAAGATTGGAGATTCCAGTCCACTCAGAGACAACTAGGAAGATAAGCCTGGCAATCTATTTCCCAAACACCAGCCATTGAAAAACTCTGTGGAGCATAGTTCTACTTCAACACACCTGAGGTCCATGACAACTGGTTAGAACAATAAACAAACATCTGAATCAGAAGGCAAATAGCTAACAGACTCAATGGGATCTGAGCATTTAATTCTCGAAAGACTTTTAGGTACAAAAATAAATCATGGGATACATTTAAAAGCATGATCCTCCAAAGTAGATATTAATTTCTTTTCGACGCAAAATTTATCTCATTTTACCACTCTCAAAATCATTCTGAAACTTGTCATTCCAAGTGCAAATTGCAAGCTGACAACTAATTAACTCAAGAATTTTCAAGCCAGCGAGACTTAAGCTGGTGTCTTTTGGAGGTGATCATCAAAGAAGTCAATCAAGGTGGACAACATCTCTACTAGTTACTCTCCAGCAGATTTTTAGAGGCTCGGGAGAAGACTGATCATCTTTCTCCATTGTTAATAGTAACATCTGGGCAATAAGAAGGCAAAGTTGGAATGAGAAATGTCACTCCCAGGAAAATACACCCATGAAAAGAAGACACTCCATGAGAAACAGCTTTGTAATCTACATTTAAATTTGACTTTTTAATGTGAAGGATCCTAATATGGATAGCTAAAATCAAGCAACCACCAAAAAAGCCCCACCACTATTTGATTAACTTTTATTCAAATAACAATCAAACAACAATAAAAACAGCAGCCAAAAAGAAAGAAGACAAATTGCCTTCAGAGATTTTAAAAATTAAAAAAGACAAGAAATAAAGTGAAGTTGCTATGGATAATATCCTATTTCTTCAAGATAGCCTTTGAACCAACAGCTGAACTATCTAGTCCTTCCTTAGAGCACATTAATAGTCCACTGGGCCTCTATGAGGCTGGTGGTTTGAATTCATTTAGGGTGACTTGGAAAAAAGAACTTATGATCTACTTCCAAATTCTCATTGCCATTGAAAACCCAAGAGTAGAATACAGTTCTACTCTGAAAGAGATGGTGCCACTTGAGCTGGAATTGATATGACAACAATTAGTTTGTTTGGAATTCCTGAGGGAAAAAGATTGTGCCTTACTGAGTTCCCCTTGCCTAACAGTGTTGTTTGACATGTATCAGGTTTTTGTTTTTGTTTTGTTTTTTTTAAATGAACAATAGTTACTGGAGCAATAACTGGAAAAAGACATCGTTGTTCATCTTAAAAAAAAAAAGAAGGATGTGTATTGTGAACAAAGCTTACATAGTCCTGCTTGCCCGAAATTCAGTCCATCTGTGTGAACTCTAATAATCATGACTGGCCAAAAAGAATCTCATTTTTTTTCAGTTCCCTCTCTCTTCAAGATCAAATTTTTATGTACCAATAGATAAGTGATTCCTCTCCTACTAGTTTTTACTCTTACACAGTGAGCTTACCCAAAGCTGTGCAGTTATCATCTGGTTCCCCCGGGATGCATGATGGGATCACAGTCGCACCTAGAACTGCTTGGAGAAGATGGAAGCCTGTTGGTGGGTGGAAATAAAATAAATCATGACTGTTCCAGGAAAAGAAACCTTGATCCTATCTACACCTTCAGTATTTGTAGATTCGTTTTACATTTTTAAATAATTTAAGTCCACCAAAATCATAAAAGAATCAATGGAGACTATAGTAGTAATTTAATGAATGTCCTATTAGTGTTTCAGTCTAGCAGGAAATCTCAATCAAATGCCTTTGAAAACCCACTGGCAGGTCAGCTATGGGTCAGTTCTGACTCGACAGTACTCAACAACATAGTATATAGTTATCATGATTCAAGAGCGAGGGCTACATGGTGGAGGGGACCTGGGGGAGGGTTTGTAAAACAATGAAAGAATCTTTTCTTTTACTTTTCCATAATTTTTGGACTCATGTACTTATAACTTGTTAGTCAAATTTGTGTCTTCTAGGTTGCAACACCCCCATGATACATCTTCAAGGATATGAACATGTACGGCCAAGCACAATCAATAAGAGTGCATCTAAATTCCAAAATCAATCTCCATAATAGTCTATGTGTTTCCTACTGCCAAAGGGGCCCTTTACAGTAGTGAGAGAAGATCTTCACCCTGAAACCCACAGCGTCCCTTTTCAGCTGGAAGTAGCTAAGAGAATACGCCATCCCCTTTTCCTTATGACTCAGGGTGAAGTCTCTCTCAGGGAGGAATGATAGGGAATGGCAAAGGACACACTGACAAAGAAGATTAATCAGAACTGGCTTTGACAAGCACTGTGGCATTTGGACAAGAACAAACTGGGAGGAGGGTAGAGAGAATAGTGCAACAATGAATGAGTGGAAGCCCAAAATCTCTGTAAATGTTTATGAAAATTAATAAAATATAGGGGAAAAAAAGATGTGTCTTTTTGTGAATGTTTCAAAGTTAGCTCTCTGAAGACATAATTTTGGGAAATTCTGTTGTGTTTGTCCATTTCTTCAGATGATGTGCTCAGGCTTATATGTACACACACATATGCATATTCAAATAAAAATCCACTCAAGGTAACCACTAAACAGGAATTTCAATCTGAAATACATTCATTACTACATTGAGTGCCTAAGTTATCCTTAGCAATGTATTATACATGAAAATAGATTTCAATAAAAACCAAGTAAGCTACACAAAAGCAGAATATATCTTATCTAATATGAGAAAGAGCACTCATGATTGTTAAACCATATTGAACTCCACAGATAATTTTCTATAAGTATATTGAAAGTTTGAACAAGGTGTTTCATCACCAGATTCCACTAAAAAGATAAATGTTGAAAACCAGACATCGGAATGACTCAAGCAGTTTCTGAATGACAGAGAGTGTGATAAGAAGAGTGCTTTTAATTGCACGTATGTTTACTTAAGAGAGTTTATCCTCTTCTGTTTAATGTGTCTAATGTTTGCACTTCGACTACCCCTTCTATTCTTGGAGTAGGTAACAGCTATGTCGTTAGTATTAATGGTTCTAGTGGTGGTAATTGTGTTAAGAATAGTTAACAATTAATATTTCTTGAACATTTATCCCATGCTAGATCTCATTTAATCCTTTCACGACTCTTTGGGGTAAAATTATTCTTATTTTTAGATAAGAAAAAAATAACTTTCCCAAAAGTATCAAACTGTGTTGTTAATTGTCCACATCACAAAATTTTGAAATAGGAAATAATACTGCAGTATAATGGGCATTATGTAGAACAAGCTAGGGTAATTTTAATTGAGGTAGATTATTAAACTCTATGGGGAGGCATATGATAGAAAAATCATTTCTTCAAGAAAAAAATTAACTACATGCTTTTCTGTAAATTAATTAACTTTCCAGAGCTTTGACTCTCTTACCAAACAGAATTTTTGAGGAGACAAGTAAGATGGTACTTTTCTGAAGTGTGTGACATACTGCAACTTACCAATTTCCAGTCTCTCACTTGTATATGAAAAGCTTTACTATAGGTCATAGTGTGTTGCACTGATAACCAAAAGGCTGCATGTGTCTGATGAGACAAATCCACCAGTGGTTTCTCATGAGAAAGACCTGTCATCTCTTAAGATTTACCCTTCAGAAACTCAAGGGAAGGTATGTCTGAGTCAGATGGTAGGGAGTTGAGGTGAGGGAGTGGAGTTTTAATATGTGAATGGTGCCCTCTCCTGGTCTCTATTAAGACTGTATGTTTCTTTTTAACATATGTCTTTTAATGATGAGTTTATTCCTTGTAGTAATGGGCACAAATGTGTCAGAAATAATGAAGATTGCACAGAATAGGACAGGATTCAAATCTGTTGTCCATAATACCACCAATTCAACTCAATATAAGGATTTTCTTTTTCTTCATCAGAAGACATATGTATCTGTTAGGAAGATTGTTTTACTTCATGTGACAAAAATTAAATTATGTATTAGCAGCAATGGAGAAGAGTATTGAATATACCATGGACTGCTAGGAGAACAAACATGTTAATCCTAGAGAGGTTCAAATCATGCTGCTCCTTGGAGAAAAGGATTCTAAAGCTTTATTTGATATACTTTGAACATGTTGCAAGGAGAGACCAGTCCTTGGAGAGGGATGTCATGCTTGGGAGGGTGGAGGGACAGCCCAAGAGAGGAAGACTTTCAATGAGATGGATTGATTCAGTGACTGGGGTAATGGGGATAGGTGTGTCAGAGACAATAAATTTGTCACAGGATAGAGCAGAGTGTAGGGCTATTGTACATAGGATCACTATGATTAGCAAGCGACTTGATGGCACATAACATCACATGGTATTTTTTAACATTTTATACTTGATATATTCAACAATCATCTGAAGAACTATTAGCCCCAACCAATCAAAGTACAGTTTAATGAAATGTTCTTCCCAAGATCCCATATATAATGGCCTTATCATGTTGCTGTTATATACTGTAGAATCAGCACCAACTCATAGCTGACCCTCTGACGAGTTTTCACAAGTAGTTAATCACATGGGGAGGAGATTGCCCATCCTTCTCCCACAGAGCACATGGTGGCCTTGAAACACATGCCTTCGGGATTGCAGCACAGCTTCTTGCCACTAGGCCATGAGCGCTCCCTATATAATGGCTTTAGAAGACAAAAATTTGGGGTCAATCTTTTTAAGTTAAGTCTAACAATCATCCAGAGATTTGAAAACGCTTATATTACAAGGGAGTTCTAGTGGCCTCTTGTGTAAAGAGTTATGCTGCCAACACACAGGGAAAATGGTTCTAATCTACCTCTGCAGGAGAAAGGTGGACAACTGCCCCTCGTGTGATTTGCAGCCTCTGAAACCTTGCTGGAAGGTCAGCTAGGACTCAGCTCCTATTTGACAGCAATGCATTGAGTCATTTTCTTGCAAGGTTTGCAACTATTTCCTCCTTAGACTTTGTTTATCCTACAATATAAATACTGTTTCAATTAATAGTATTGTACTTACTGCTGTTGTTGTTGTTGTTATGTGCCGTCTAGTTGCTTGCGACTCATAGAGACCCTATGTACAACAGCCCTAAACCCTGCTCTATCCTGTGCCAATCTCACTGCCTCTGACACACCCATCCCAATTATCCCAGTCACTGAATCAATCCACCTCATAAAAGGTCTTCCCACTGCTAGGTGCCATTAAATCGAATACGACTCATAAAGACCCTATGTAAAACAGACATGAACCCTGTCATATCCTGTGCCAGCCTCATAGTCTCTGGCGCACTTGTGCCCATTGCTGCATTCACTGTGTCTATCCATCCTCTTGAAGATTTTCTGTTGCATTGACCTTTCCAAGCATAATAACACTTTCCAAGGAATAGTCTTTCCAGCAACATGTCCAAAGTATGAGACACACAGCTTTGCCATCTTTTACTCCAAAGAAGAGTCTGGCTGCAATTTTCATTTTTCCAAGACATGTATGTCTGTTCTTTGACAGTCCATGTGGGATATTCAATGCTCTTCTCCAGCATCACAACTCAAAGACATTAATTCTTCTTCTGTTATTCTTATCCATTGTCCAACTCTCAGATGCATAGTAAGTGATTGAAAAGACATTAACAATGGCTAAAGTCGTTATCTCGCCTATAAATTAAATGGAGCTGAAAACCTGTTAGAAATCCCTTGATTCTTTTGGAAGCTAGCTAATTGTTTTGGGGTGTTGCTTCTTTATCTGTTTCTGGTTGTCTAGTTGTTATTGGTCTTTCCACTGCCAGAAACCTTGTTCCAGTTGTCCAGGCCCCAGGTGAAATATTTGTCTTTGTTAATTAAAGAATGCTCACGAGGGTGTGTCTTCACAAAAACTGGCCTTTCTTTACCTGCGACGCTCCCTTGGACGCAGTCCATTGCTTGGGATGGTTTCTATGAGACTTACTGCACTAATCCAGCAACTGAATATTTTGCCAATGAAACGGCAACTACTACTAATAGTAAAAGGCCCTCTGAAAGGAAAGTATTTAAACTGAAATATGTGGTCAATAAAATAGCAAAGTTAGTTCGACACTGTGTCCTTATGCACAGCTCTATTGCTTTTAAACACTGTTCCTCAAGCTTTCCTCCACCTCCTCTCTGGCCCTGAGCGTCACCAACAACAGTAGAAGAGTCACAGCGGTGATCAGAAAATTGAAAAAGTTCAGCAAAAGAAGATTCTGATGTACAATCTCTATTAACTTAAGAATCAGAACTGATGGTTGTAAAGGCAGACAGAGAGTAGAGTATATACTAAAGTTATAAAACTATAATATTTTTATTTTTTCCCCATGTCTTTAAGGAGCTCTGGTGATGTAGTCCCTAGAGACTTGAGTTGCTAAACCAAAGATTATGTCTCTCTGGATGTTCAAATCCACCCATGGCTCCAAAGATGAGCAATTTCTTTCTGTGCAACTGACAACTTTAGAAACCCAATAGAGGGTCATCTATGAGTAGGCTTCAACACAAAGACGATGAGTAGGTACAATAGCAATTAATATTATCCAATATTTGAATGATCTCTCTATAACCTAATAGCAAATGTTAGAGTTGAGTTTTTGATCCTCAACCAAGGGTCCCTGCTATGATAACAATTCACTATGAAGCTGAAAAGTTTGGATGTAAAAACAAATAGGTAAGTAACTTCTATAAGAACTTAAAATCCAAAGGAATTCTGTGCAGGCCAATACAAGATAGATTGACTTGGGAACTGAAAATTAGAATGGGAACTTCTTTTCAGATGATGCTATAAAACTTAAAATCCTTTCAGAGCCCATTACTTCTGACAAATTTCCAAATATGTTTTAGGGCTTTGAAGTTCACCTATTCATCTCTGTGCCTTCATCTTTTTTCGAGGTCATGTTTCAGTGAAATCTCAAGATGCCAGCAGGAAGTGGTGCCAGTGACTCACAGGATACAAATCACCTCTTCCCGGTGAGTCAGGGCCGAGCCTACACCTTACACAATGTTGGGGGTGGTGCGTGGGAGAGGGTGAGTACCATCACAGGGATGGGGGTAGCATTAAATATCGTGGGCCCTGGAGCACTACGAAGTGTTTGCTCAAGGCCAGGCAGAATGCCAGGTATAGGAAAAGCCCTTACTACTTAATGCACACAATAGCTTTTTACCTTGCTCCTTCTGGTGACACTGAGAGGACTCCTCTAAAGGAGGCTGACGCAGAGGAAGTAGGGATTCCATGACCGGCTAAGTGGGCCACGCTGGCGAAATCACTAGCAAATCAAGGAATAAATAGATCTGGAAAATAGCCAAGCAAATCAAAACGATCCACACCAAGATGGGGTAAGTTAAAGAAGGAAAGAAATGCACCTAACTCTCTTAGTTTAATCTTTTAAAATATTCAGACCAGAGCTGCAAACTCACAATGAATCATAGGATTTGTCTGGCCCAAACAGGTAGGAAAATCCGCTTTGTTCACACTTTTGCTGTGCTCACCTGTCAGTCGAGTCATGGACTGTTAGTTTCCGTCCATGGATCTTTTTCCGTGGATGTCTGTGATTTAGGATGTGTTTGTTACATAGTAAGCATCTTAAGTTTTACACACTTATAAGAAGTAAATATGCTTTCACCTTTCTCATTTGTCTTTTCTCTCAAAATTCAATTTCACTTTCAAATCTTACTTCACCTTGGCTAAAATACTTTAAATTCATTACCATATCGTAGATTGAGGACTTCTAACATCATTTTATAGTAACAGTCTAAAATATATGTGAACACTGAAACAACTTTGTCTTCCATCAGTAATCATTCTCTTCATAGAATTTTTTTCATTTTTATTTTATTATTTGTGTGTGTGTGTACCGTCAAATCGGATCTGAGTGTTATAGAAGGAGATTATCCCTCCTTCTCCAGCAGAGCATCTGGTGGATTTGAACCTCTTAGCTCTGGGATTGGAGTGCCGCTTCTAGCACTAGGCGACCAGAGCTCTCTGTCATAGAATTCTTTTATATATATGTACCAGCCTTAAAATTTCATTAAAAGATGGATATAAAAATTAATTACAACTATTTGAGATAAAACAGCAGGAAATCAGAGACTAATGTAATAGATATCAGCACTTCTTTTAATTTTAAATTGAAAGCTAGGAATATGAACATAGAAATAACATATGACCCAGCTATTCTCCTGCTGTGAATATACCCGAAAGAAATTAGAACTGATACCCAAACAAACATTTGTATACCAATGTTCATAGCAGCGTTATTCACCATTGCAAGAATATGGAAGCAACTCAAAGTCCAAACACAATCAAATGGATTAAGAAATTGTGGTATGTTCACACAATGGAACACTATGCAGCACCCTGGAGCAACAATTTTGAAAATTACTACATAACTGGGAGAGACTGAAGCGCATTATACTGAACGAACTAACTTGATCCCTTAAGGACAAATACTGTGTAAGAACATTATTGTAGAAAAAGAAAGATAACTAGTAAGTTGTGTATGAGGATCCAAGTAGGAGAGGGTGGGAGCAGAGAGGTAAGGATGAGCAGGAGGAAATCAAAGGGTCACATAATCTGGCAAGTAGAGAAAGGGAGAGTAAAGGAAAATGGGAAAGATTGGGAAGGGACAGTAAGTCACATTGAACTATGGTGATTAATTTTATAAAACATAATGAACAGGAATGATTGCACAAAACACAATGTAAATGAATGATAGTGTAAAACACAATATACATGAATTTTATAAGCAAAGCAACATAAAAGAAAATATTTTTTAAAAATCGCTATGAAGTCTTTATTTCTACTTGCAAGAAAAGATTTAATTTTTTCCTGGCTCAATTATTTTCAACTTTGACTTTTTCAGTGAGACCATTTGCTTTCATTGATAGAAGAAATGCTGAGTCAAGAAGCTTTTCCAAAATTTTGTTATGAAATATAGACTTTGTTACATATTTTGTGAAACACGTATGTACTCCTGGACTCTGAAGTAGGAGGAGGAGCAACACTGGAGATGGACATCATGCTTGTAAGGGTGGAGGGATGGCGTAAGAGAGGAAGACCTTTGATGAGATGGATTGATTCAGTGACTGTGGTAATGAGGACAGGTGCGTCAGAGACAATAAGGTTGGCACAGGATAGATCAGATCTTAGAGGGAAAAAAAGAAGTTTTAGTGTTAGGTGAGCAAAGAGGGCAATGTTAGAATAAGGGTGACCAGCAGCTCAATAATGGAAAAAAAATGAATGACTCCATCATAAATTCTATTCATTATTAGGGAAGATTTTGTTAAAAAAAAAACAAACCCTTCAAAACTCATTGTCATAGAGTGGTAACTAACTCAGAGCTGACCCTCCAGCAGGTTTTCAGAGACAGTAAAGGGCACTAGAGGTGATTTCCCATCTTTCTTCCATGGAGCAACTGGCAGATTGAAACTGCCCTGTCATGTTGGCAGCACAACTCCCTACTGACCAAAGCTCCATTAATCACAGGCCCACACAATTTGATGGGTGAAGGGAGGGGTGGGTAAAGGAAATGGGAAGAGACGGTGTGAAAAACCATGCATATGAACTTTGTAAACCAGTAAAAAA